ACAAGTGTGAAGCCAAACCCCTACTCTTCACTTCTAAAATCAGCCTCTTCTAAAATCTTCCTCCATCCTTCCACTTTCTTGGGGTGAAAAACGTGAAAACCTCTAGACCTCTGTCTTTCCCTCACACCCCACATTTAAATTCACCAGTAAACCCTATCATCTTTGTTATTTTTTTTTTTAAATGCCCAAAATGTTAACCTCACCACTTGAAGAAACCTGGTGGCACAGTGGTTAAAGCATTTGACTGCTAACAGGAAGTTTGAACCCATCATCAGTTCCAAGGGAGAAAGATGTGGCAGTCTGCGTCCATAAAGACTTATAGCCTTGGAAACCCAATGGGGGCACTGCTATTCTGTCCTGCGGAGTCCCTATGATCCAGAATAGATTCTAAGGCAATGGGGCAACAGGTTCGGTTTGGTCTTGGTTCCTCACCACCCCCGGTCTACTATTTATTATCGTCCCACCATGATTATTGCAATAACTGCATCACTGTCTAGTCTCAACACAGCAGACAGTGTTAAAATTGTAGTCAGATCCCTTCACTCTAGTATGCAAAACCCTCCAATCCTGTGGTTTCATTCAGGATGAAAAGATTAAAGTCTTCTCGTGACCAGGCCCTACCTGATCTACCCTTTCCCACTACTCTCTGTCTCTCTGGCCTCACCTCAGCTTCTGTCATTCCCCACCTCTGGCGCCATGCCCCACCCCTCGCCCCATGCCCTCTCTTCACTTTGCTGCAGCCATACTGGCCTTCCTAGTCTACTGCTTCAGGGCCTTAACTATTTCCTCTATACCATAAGCACTGGACTTTGAACCACAAATTCAGCCATTCCAGCCCACCAGCCACTCCTTGGGAGAAAGAGGAGGCTTTCTACTCTCAAAAAGATGTACAGCCTCAGAAAACCTATACTGGGGTCCTTTGAGTTGGAACCGACTCAATGGCGTTTAACAACAATTCTCTCTACTTGGATTTCTCTTTCCCCAGAATACCTCTCTATTTCATCTTCAAGTCTTAAATTACCAGTAAGGGCTTCCTATTTTAAATGGCTACCACCCTGTTCACCCTTTACCCTCATTCCCTGCTGAACGTTTTCCCTAATATGGTTATAAGTTTCCAATATATACTATTTGCTCTGTGCTGCCCTGCTCCTACTCAAACCTGAGCTCCATAGTGAAGGAACTTTAGTATCTTGTTTCCTGCTGCCCTCAGTACCCAGAAGAGAACCTGGCACATAACAGGCACCCAGTACAATTCACTGAATGAATGAATGAATGAAATGAGAACCTGAGGAGGCAGTTCTGGGAGTAAGGGCCTGACTTCTAGTGCTAGCTTAGACACCAACTGTAGGATAAGCTTAGACACCAACTGTGGCACTGTAGGATAAGCACTGTACTGCCAACCACAAGGTCGGTGGTTCAAACCCACCAGCCACTCCTTGGAAAGCCTGTACTCTATGAGTCAGAACTGACTCAAAGGCACTTAATCACAAATGTGACCCCTGAGCCTCAGTTTACCCATCTGTAAAGACTCCTGAGGTCCAAACGCTTCTTGAAGGACAGGACTTAGTGGAGTGGAAGAAGAGAATGCTCTCTCTCTCTGTCTCTCTTTCTCTCTCTCCTTTCTAGTTAAGACCTAGATAGAGTATTTGTTGTTGTAGGCCGACTCATAGTGACTATAGGGTTTCTAAGGAGCAACTGGTGGATTTGAACTGCTGACCTTGTGATTCACCGTCTAGTGCTGACTCTCCAGTGCCACGTGAAAGGCAATGTGCACCTTGGATTTGGCAGGACTTTTGAAACCATCCTAGGGCTGAATGGATGAGGGGTCCATCCCATCTGCTGTACAGAGCCAAGTAGAGGTCTGGCCACTAGGTGTGGGATCCTCCTCCTGGGAAGTCAGCCCCTGAGAGGGCATCTGTTGTAAGATAGGAGGTGAGGGAAGGTGGTGAATCAGGAGGAGGCCGGAGCTGGGGAAAGGAAGGCCTGGAGAGGGACTTCATGAGGATCACCTGGGCATGCCCACGGGGTTTCACTGAGGCTGATTGTGAAGCCTCCGTGTAGCCCTCACAGCCAGCACTGACGCCCAGACAGAGTGGCAGGCCTTTTGGCTGAGGAAAGCAGGGTCCTCCTCCCTTTCCTGGGCCTTGCAACAGCTCCCTGCTTGTTTTCTCTGAAATAAATGGGCTGAGCATATTGGGCCGGCAATAACCCCTTGAAATCAGTTGTTATCACAGTTAACAACCAGTTTGGCTTCAGTTCAGGCTGTTAACTATCAAACCACTAAGTGCCGGTAATGATTGATTCTTGGCCAGTTGCAGCTTGAGTGGGCTGTAAAACTCCATTAGCCAGGGCTCTGTGGAGGCAACTCAAAAGATAAACAAGTTGGTGGGTGCCCTAGCCCCACTGCTTCTGGACTCAGCTCCCATGGGTCCCCTGCCTGGGATCCTGCTCAAAATCAACCCCTTCCCAAAGCCTCAGGCAGCCTGAAGGACTACGTTCCTACCCAACTGTCTATACTTACTCCCTGCAGTTCATATCTCTGTAAAGTAGGTCTGGCTTTCTGGGCAGCCCACATCTTCTCCCTGATGGCAAACATGGCAGGATACCATCTCTCTCTCAGGCATCCCTGGTCTGAGGCTTGAGGATTAGCTTTGGCCTAGCCAGTCACCAGCCTTGGCCCAGCTTGGCCCCACTTTGTGGCCAGGATCACAGGCAGAAAGTCTGACATTCCACTCCCCCACCAGACTCCCTCCTACCCTATGGCTTCCCCCAGGAATTGCTCTCAAACAAATGAAATGTGGGTCATTACTGGGCTGGGGGCTGGACAGGCGGCGTGCAGATGAAAGCGTTTCCTGGACGGTCTCTTCATTTGCATGGCATCAGAAGCTGCTCAGAAGGTGTGACTTTTCCCACAGTGAGACCCCAGCTCCTTGCACAATAAAGCCAGGCTGCTCACCCAGAATTAATTAAAGGGGGAGGGGAAGGGATGGAGCAGAGGAGGAGGTGCTAAGGGCTTGGGGAGCTGGAAGAGAAATATCTAGAACCCCCTCACACATCCCCAGGGTCCATGAACTGGGAGAAACCCCTCACACTCATGCATCGTGGCAAGCTAACAGAGATGAGGTGAGAAGATGAGGTTTATCCCCAATCTCTCCACTTCATGGAGTCCTTGATCCACCTGAATAGGTTGAACCTGGGTCTTGGGATTACAATCTTGGGAAGCTCACATAGTTAGGAAGCGTTGTGCTGTCCCCTATCCAACAGTGATGTCAAAAAGTGAAGACCCAGAAGTCTTGCATTGACCTGGTGGTAGCTGAGCTATGGGAGTAGGCCAGTGGGTACCCTTGACGAAGGCAGCAGAAGCAGCCAGAGTTGGAGCCTCAGGAATGAAGATGGGACTGGTTCTGTCCCTCAGGAGACTGCTTCATCTGGGCTTGGACTCTTCCTCGGTATGGTGAGTCTGTCCTCCACGGTGTGACGACAACCTCACTGTTCCACATGTATGCCATGGCCCAATTGGGCCTTCTACCCTACCATGGTTGGCTGCACTCTTGCCTCAGCTGACCTACTCTTCCTTACTCCATAACAGTCCTCCCTCACAGATGGGTCCTACCAATATCTGACCACCTACTCAGCTGCTTCTCACCCCTAGTCATGGCTGGATCGAACATCTGATTCATTCTGTATTATATACTGCTTGTTCTGCTCTACCACCAGCACTAGACTATAACCCCAGCTTCCCTTCTTTTCCCCTCCTATGCTCAACTCCCTGACAGGCCCAACTGTCCAGAGGTGGACATCCTTATTGGAGAATTGTCCCATGGGCTCGTTTGTAATACCTTCTGCTAATAACTCCTCTACCCAGATCTCCCAAAGTCCATGCTTGTTCTGAGTCACAATTGTCAACACCAGCCCTGGGAGTTGCTCTCCTACATGCCCACAATGTAGACTCTCATTAATTTTCTAGAGCCTAATACTCAGACAGGAGTCCTAGTGTGGCGCTGTAGGTTAATGCACCACACTGCAAAATCGTTTGAACCAGAAAGTCGATGGTTCAAGCTCACCAGTCACTCATCGGAAACCTTATACAGAGTTTCTATGGGTCGGTACTGACTTAGTGGCACTTAACAATACTCAGACAAGAACTCTGATGGCACTTTGTGTTAGGCATTGGGTTGCTAACCATAAGGCCAAGGGTTCAAACCCACCAGCAGCTCTTTGGGGAAAAGATGAGGCTGTCTGCTTCTGTAAAAATGTAGTCTCAGAAACCCTATATAGTGTTACTGTAAGTTGGAATTGACTCAATGACAGTAGATTTGTATTGGTTTTGGTTTGATAATTCAAGAAAGAACCAGCTCTAGAATCTCTAACCTGTCCTTCACATAAGTCTAGGTAGGCACACAGACAGAGGCACTTTTTAAGACTTGCTAAATCCATGATTGCAGGGTCCTAAAAGGTTAATCATTTCTGGCCCTGAGGTGACCAGAGAAGTGTGAGCGATGAGTTCCACTAAGAGACAGTGCTCCCAGGACCAGCCAAGAGCCTTCTTGCTTGGGTCCTCCCAGACAACCCCTCTCTCTAGTGAGGATGGCTGGCTCTTTGGGCAGGATTTGCTGCCTCTCCTAACTGCCTGACTACTGGGGAAAGAAGGGGGAGGGGAAAGGCCCAGCAGGTCTACTCTCCAATACACATTTTAAATAAACAAATTAAATAAATATTTCCAGCATTTAGTAGCAAGAGGTACAACAACCGTCCTTCAGTGACCTCAGTCCCCACTCTATCTTCCCTGCCTTCACCCTGGGATGCAGTGGAGTCCCTGGCTGTTTGGCCAACTCACCCGGTGGATGCTGGGGATGCAGGTGTACATCTGCTAGACTGGAACCAGACTCCCCTCCCCACCCACCCCCCCGGGGAATCCCCATCTAGGCCACTAACAGGCCTTCATGAGAGCAAAGAAGACAGACAACGCCACAGTCAAGTGGAATATAAAAATAGAGCCTCTGTTTTGTTTAAAAAAAAAAAAAAAAAAACGCAAAAAAAAAAAAAAAAAACCCAACCCAACAGCAAACAATTATCAACAGCTAGAACCGGGGTTCCCCCAGCTCCTCCCCAGCCTTCAGCAGCGCAGATCTTGTCTTGCTCGAGTTCCTCTGGTTTGGCTCCTGTGAAAACAAGTCTCCAAGTTTCGGAGTTGCAGGGAGGGGCCGGGCAGGGGCCTATCGTGGCTCAGGGGCCCAAGTCCTCTGGCTGCCCCGCAGGCTGCGCGTAAAGGGCGGGTAGTTGAGGAACTCGAAGCGCAGGCTCTGCTCTGTGGTGTGGTGGCCGCGGGGCAGCCGCTTCATAAAGTGGACCTCACGCTGGTGCTGCCGCGTCTTGGAGCCCTTTCGGGGCCGGCCCTTGCGAGTAAAGGCCATGTACCAGCCTTCGTACTTGGCGTTCTGAAGGGCCGTGTAGTTGTTCTCTAGCACGATCTCTGTGAAGACGCAGTCCTTGCCTTTGCCGTTGCTCTGCAGGTACGGGGACAGACACAGAGTTACTGGGCTCCATGCGGAGCTCCCCCCAACCAGAGGCAGAGGGCAAGCGGCACTAGACAGCAGGTGGGCACCCCAGCAGATGGCGAGGTGGGCACCCGCTCTCTAATCCCTCACAACCGCAGCCCACCCGGCAACTTCCTGTCCTCCCGGGCAGCAGTGACACATGGTTGTCTCCGGAGGAGCTGGGCCCCGACACAGAGAGGCAAAGAGGGGTCCAGGCCCTGCCGGTTCTGGCCTCCTGCCCATCAGGCTGGCCAGAACTGCTAGGGCCATTTCCCCACCTGCCCCACTTAGCCCCTGAAGGTAGCCACCCTAGGGGGGAGGGAAGGCCTATGGGGAAGCTCTGAGCCCTAAGCCCCAGAAGTCCAGGAAGAGGGGAGCTTGAGGCTGGAGAGGAGCCGTGACTAATGGGACCATTTCAGAGCTAGGCTAAGGGGCTGGGCCTGCGCTTACTGAACATTCCAAATGCTGGTACCATGTAATTGGACATAATAGCAAAGCAATTTGGCGATTTGTTAAAAAGATATATGGAATTTACCAAACGCCCCCCCTCCACCCCAGCCCCTTCCCTAGCCTTCCTTCTTCCTCCTTAGTCTTTATAGTTTTTCGTCTCTCCCAAAGTTTCCTTCTCTCTTACCTCCTCCACCCCCACCCCAAGCATTGGGTAACTCAGAGTGGCTCTGTGTGTGTCTGCCCACCATGTTGAGATGGGAGGCACAAAACTGTCCTGGAGCAGCTCAGCCAACTCCCCAGACCCCTACCTTCTTTGTGGGGCCTCACCTTGGCGATCAACTTCCCTTTCTTATTCATGCAGATGTAGAGGCCTGTTTCAGCACCTCTTACTCGAACTCTACTCCCAAAGGTATCTGTCTCCACAATGAGCTTTGCTGTGGGGGAAGGCAGGAAGGATGATTATTGAAGGGGCCTTGACACACCGATAGATATCCTTACCCCAGTTGGTCCACAGACTTGTCATATTGCAGTAGCTACCACTCTCCAAGGGCCAGGCACCCAAGAAGTGGGCTCTAGCCCTAGCCCAATAACCAATGGGCTGTGCAATCCTGAGAAAGTGGAGCCACTTTTATGGGCCTTGGGCCCCTGACCTGGATTTACAGAGGGAATATTTATAAACTGGGTTCTGCAGAGGGGTATTGGGGTAATCCAATCTAAAAGGCTGATTCATCCCAGCCTCTTTTAAACTGGACATGGTTGAGGTTCTGAGTAAAAATTCATTTGACCAGTGTTCTACTGCAAATCAAAAGATCTCTGAGTATCCTTCCACCTTGAAATACTACGTGCAAATCCCTCACAGATCCTGTCAAACATCCCAGGGGCCATAGTGACTTCTGCCGCTTCTGGTTCTATGAGGAGGCTTCAAAATAGCTCGTGGAAATTTTTCATTATCTTTCAATTCTACTTTTCCACAAAGTTTTTGAAGTTCCCACATAATTCCACCTTGGACAGTCCCCAGCACCAAAGAAGCAGACCCATCTGATGCCACCTGGGAGCGCCTTGTCCCTTCTCCGCTGCTTCTCAGTTCCAATCTTCCCCAGCCCTTTCTCCCCAACCCCCTCACCCCTCTGCAGGGTCCAGAAATTAATATCTACATAGTCTTTTCTCCATCAACCCCCATCACTTTCTGTGGGTGAGGAGAGGAGAAAGTCCGTACCTGTTTGCCTCTCAGTCTAGAGACCCAGAGATGGGGGCTGAATTCTGTGCCTTCCTCCCTACCCACCCTTTTTAAACAGTCAACTTGCCCAGTCCCCATCCACCTCTGCACACTCCTCCCTCTGAGGTTGTCCCTAAGAAAGAAGGGGGCTAGGTTAGCTTTCTGGGATGGGGCAGAAGGGACTGGGTCTCCTGCCCTCCCCATTGCAGAGCCTAGCCTCTTCTCTCCTTGAGAAAGTGTCCCCAGTTCACTGGCACCTTCTCTCTCCCTAAAAGGAATCAGAATGGAGGGGTGGCACCAAGGTCAGCAAGGTGGCCTCACTGCCCATCCTCTGACTGCCCCCTATTCACACAGACACCGCACTGGGACTCAGTGGCCAAGCCCCAAGTCTGGCCCCAAGTCAGCCAGGGATATGCAGCTGTCACCTCCCCTCCCACCCACCTTCTCTTGGACCCGGCTGCTCAGCCCTCTCAGAGCAAGAAGCAGCTGCTTCTAAGGAGGCAGGGATGGACGCTAGTAGAGAGGGATTGAGAGGACCTCACCCTGAGGCTTTTGGCCACACAGGACAGCTGGGGATAGGGTCAGTTCCTCTCTTCCTTCCTGGAGCCCATGAAGAAGTAATTGGGATCTCTCGGTTATGCTTCCCCACACTCCTCCCATCCTGGCTTCACACCCCAAGTCTCTGCTCTTGGGGCCTCCAAGCTCTCCTTCTGCCCGGCAAGCAGGGCCCAGGAAGCCTAGGAAACCTCTTACATTTCTAAGGGGTTAAATGGGCATTAGAACTCTAGCTGCTTAACCTTCTCTCCCTCCTCCAAAGATGCTGGACCATTTGCTCCATTGGAACAAACCCGGGAGAACCAGGAGCCAGGCATTCGTTCCTTTTCCTAGGAAACTGAGAAGGGTAGAAAGCAGCTAGTTTGGAGGGACAAAGGGATGGTAGCCCGGCCCTACCAGCCCAGCAGGGGAGCTGGGCCACCGAGCAGGCTGCCCCCACCCCCAGCCTGAGAACCCCCACTTTCCTTCCCGGATGGATCTGGGGAGCTAGGGCCACAGTTGACAGAGGCTTTCCCGACCGGGCTTTTGGAAAGCTTAACATTTTCAAACCTATTCTTCCACCCCAGTGACAGATTTATCCCAGGAAAATTATGTCTCCTTCTCCAGCTTTGAAGGGAAGTCAGCTACATGTTGATGCAGAAAAAATGCAGCGAGACATACTCGATCCCCCAAACTGGCTAGAGAAGAGGAGAAAGTATTCAGGAAATGTTAAAAAAGGTGAAAGTAAGAAGAGTTTTAATCGCTCTGCCAGACGCGGGGGTCTCTCCAGAGATTCATAGAGAACAATCTTGAACCTCTTTTTTCAACATTTACAGACTTGCAACTCCTTTCAAACGCCACATCTGAAAAAAGGCTTGTTCGTTTTCTGTTTTATATCATTCTTCATTTTTCTTCTTAGCTCTTAAAATGCCTCACCTTTTTATTACATTTTAATAGAGTCTTCCCCTCTCCTTTCATGCTTGTTTAACTTGGTCATTATTTAAAGGTTTTTAAATTCACAATAATCGCTCTCTAAAAACAACACCCACCGCCCAGAGGGTTTGCTTTTCTCTTGGTACATCTAGGACTCTGGGAATTGGCCCAGTTTCAAGGCAAGAATATTGAATGTTTTCGAAATCAATCAGTCCTCAGTAGCTCCCTATATCATCACCCCCTCACAGACACAGGGTTCTGGGAACCCAGTCCTGCCCCAGCCACCGGGTTCCTAGGCAACATGAGGGACCTTTCAAACCTCTCTCAAAGTCCCCAGGTACAAGTGACCCTTCTGACCCAAGTCTGTAAAGGCTCAGAGTACCCCCTTTTTGAAGATGGGAAAAATGGGAGGATTTTTATCTTCTCTTTACCATTCTCCTTTTGTGGGCCCTGGCCACATATCCTCTTTCAAGAGCTTCCCTTAAATCTGGGCCCCCTCCTCCTGAACCCCCTGCCTCCACCTGCAGTAGTGTATGAAGGGGGGAGGTGTAAAGGGAGATTCCTGGATTCATTCATTTGCTGGGCAGGGAAGGGGGCACCTGTGGGCCAAGTACTCCCAGAGGCCCTTCCTCAGCCCTCTCTTCTCCAGCCAACCCTTAAGACACCTTTTTTTTTTTTTTTTTGCCTTAACTCCTTCCCTTCTGAGTTGAGACTACAGGCCTCCCATCAAAGCAGAGGATTGGAGGTCCAGCCAGGTCAGGTTCCACTACCTTTGCACAGCTTGTCTTACCGAAGGGGTCTCCATCCTCTGCCATGGCGTTGATGCGCTTGTTGGCCAAGACCTGCACGTGCTTCCCACTGGTGCGGCTGTAGAGCTGGTAGGTCCGGATGAGGCGGCGGCTGAGCTGATCCGTCACTAGGCTCTGCTCCCTCACATGCTGTGTAAAATTAGGTGAGGACTGAACAGTTACCTTTAGGAAATTGAAAAATACACAACACGCCATTATAATGTTACTCTGCCCAGGGGCCTGAGTGGCCCCCATGACCCTGCCCTGCACACCCCGGTCCACTGTCCCAGGCAGCCGGCTGGGACCCGAAATTACTGCCTCAGGCCACGGCTCCCCATCTAAGACAGTCAGCAGCCACAGCCTTGATGGAAGAGATGGGGTGAAGGAAAATCTGAACCCACGGGTGGGTTGTGAACCCCTCCTCTCCCCAGGTTCCCCGTCAGCTCGGAACAGGGGCGGAATCCCCCAGTTTAAGGCAGGTTCCTTCCTAGAGGAGCAAGGCCAGGGCTCTTTTAAGTAGGGACGCAGCGCTACTTGCCCCGGTGACATTTATAAAGACAAATTTACCAAGCAAATGTTGAGAGCGCACAGTACCTAGGCGCCCGATTGCTTGGCGGGCTCGGCCAAGTCTCCCCAAAGGGTCCCGGAGAGGGTCCCTACTGCAACCTCCAGAATTTCTCCTAACAAACTTAACACGCAGTGCCGGCTGCCTCTTTCCTCTGTATGACTGTCCGCCAAGTACCCGTATACTCCGACTCGTCGGTTGCATGGGATATAGCATTGGACTCTGAAATCCCGCGTCCTATCCTCGCCCCTCAATTGCTGTGTGACCTTAGGCAAGGCGCTGCCTCTCTGTGCTTCAATTCCTTCCTTGGAATTGCTGGGGGCTGGGACTCTAAGGTGGCCTGAGCCTTGTTGCTCTGGCCACAGGGTTATGTCCTCGCGCCCCTGCCCGACATTTGCCACCCGGCGTCCCCGTCGGCCCGCCCGGCCCCCGCCTCCGCGCAGCGCTCCTTACCTGGGCTTGGAGGCAGAGGACCAGCAAGTGCAACAGCCTGCGGGAGACAAAAGCGGGTGGGAGAGAGGGGCGCGGAATGAGTGGAGCGGGTGCGGGCGCTGGGCGAGGGCCGGGTGGGGACGGGGATGCGGGGACTTACAGGCAGCTCAGCGCCGAGCGGGGGCTGCCCATGGCGCGCGGCCAGGAGCGCGGAGAACCCGGCGGGAGCAGCCGTCCCGCGGGCGACCCGGGGGAACAAGCGAAGCGGTGCGGCGGCTGAGGGAGGGTCGGGCGCGAGAGCCCAGCGGCGAGGCCAACGCGGCTCCGCGGGGCCCGTGGACAGTCGTGCTCGCCCGCGCGCCGTGCCGCTGCCGGAGCCGGTGGCCGCTGGCTGCTTGGGGGCTGGAGCGGGCGGAGGGTAACGGGCCGC